TTTTTGCTGATGTTGGCAATTTCGTGGCTAATTCTCTGCTGGGTTAGGCATCCAGCTCAGAGAGAGCAGCCTAAGGACTGCTGGAGTGGCTCTATCTACCTGCTGCATCACCCTATCTCTATCATCAGACCACACCCTCAATTACCCATATAGCTCTACAGCATTCCCAGGAAGGGCTGGCTCCATATACTATGCTAAACCCCAGGCAGGATCATCCCTTTCTCCCTGCTGTTTCTATAAGTGCCTTTTCCCGCTCCCTTATTAGCACCAGAGCTGCTCTGGCTCCGGGATGAGCAGGCTCAGTGGCACAACAGGTCAAGCTTGGAGAACAGAGTGAATGGTAGAAGGTTGCACCCAGAAGTTTCTTGCTTACCAGTTGAACTCAGCAATGTGTGTCTGCCTTCTTGTGGAATGGTTCATCAGGTTTATTCCAGTGACACCCATAAAATTCAAGGAGAGCACTCCATTGCTAAAGGATTCATATTCTTCTACCAATAACAGTGGAAGACTCACACAGCATGATGAGGAAAAAGACCCAGCATTGCTGAATAAAGGTCATTGCTGTTTCTATCGTATAGCAGAAATAAAAACACAAGCTGCAGCTCTGCACAGTTACATGCTCTTCAAAGAGCTCTTCCCCCGCACCTCTTTCAGTGCCTGTCCCACCCTGCTACAGTAATTTGTAACTATGGGTTTCTGGCCGAGTTTCCTTCTCAGTCATGTAATTTCCTTTTCTTTTGTGGGACATTTGCAGATTTTCAAAGGGAAAAATTTGTATTCTATTTCACCATCCAACAACCCATCAATGTGGAAGAGAAATGTACCTAATTTTTGTGTGGCTTCTTACCAATGTTTTTAATGCTAAAATACAGTTAACAGTGAGTGAGAGCATCAGGACAGTGGTCCTGCAAATCTGAATCTTTTCTGTGTGTAGGAAAGGTGTTACCTGGATAATAGCAATAGGATTAACCTTTCTACTTGCAACAGAGTGACTTTTCCTGGAGGAAGAAAAACTTCAGCCCCAAGCAACTACTTCCTTGAAGCTTGGGAAGCAGATGTCAGCCTTTTGGTATTGATGTGGTTATGTAGGATGTTGACAATCTTAAACAAGGGAATGTTCAGTAATGCCAGGGCTGCTGTGTGCAACAGCTTGCAGAAGAACCTGTACGTTTTTCTGCCTTTCCTTAGGCACCCCGTTGAAGACAGTCAGGCATCCCCCACCACCCCAGACCACTTCCAGAATGGGTCCTGACTTCCACTCTCTTTGCAATGTTGAGCCTGAGCCACTAGGCCTTTTTAGGGAATGATATGCTCATTGCACAAAATACATCCAGCCTCTTTTGCTGCAGGGGTTGAATTTCACAGCCGACAGATGTACCCGCAGATGTACCTGCCGACTCCCAGCACTTTGAGCTCTGATGATCATTTAAGCGTGGTTGTTGACAAATTCAATTCAGTTTTATCCACTTTCACACACATTATTTTTCATACCACAGGCTAAAAGCTCTGTGTCAGTAGAAGAGCCTTTTTGCCTCTGCAGGGGACTATCCAGCATTTCATGGAGGAACAGATTTGATGGTATAATACTGGAAAGTGGACACCTAATTACCTCATTCCTTACTGATGTTGCCATTTGTAAAGTTTTTTTCTGAGAGCCTGTCAGACAGAGGGGAATTGGTGTGGGTGATGGAGTGAGGCTGAATGCACTCATTAAAACAAATTAATGCTATATCTTCTTAGTAAGTGAAGAGGCAGTTTGTTGGAGAAGGGGAGCCTTTCCAAGCCCCAAAGGTAACATTTTTGCAGAGAGAGTACAAGTTTGCACTATGTTCCTTTCATAATAAGTTTCTAGACAGAAAAGATACATCTTCTTCACAGGGATTTTATTTCCTGATGTGGTGGGTTGACCATGGCAGGACATCAGGTGCCCACCAAAGCTGCTCTATCACTCCCCTCCTCAACTGGACAGTGGAGAGAAAGTACAACTAAAGGCTCATGGTTTGAGATTATGACAGGGAGAGATCACTCACCAGTTACCATCAAGGGCAAAAATGACTCAACTTGAGAAATTTAGCTTATTACCAATCAAATCAGCATAGGACAATGAGAAATAAAAACTAAATATGAAAACACCTTCCCCTACCCCTCCCTTCTTCCTGCTTAATTTTACTCCTAAATTCTCTAACGCCTCCCCTCCAGCGGTGGAGGGGATGGTGGGGAGGGGGTGGGGGGGGATGTGGGGGGGAACGGCGACAGGAGAGAGAGAAGAGAATGGGAGAGGTGGCCAGTGGGCCACTGCTGTGGTTAGTTCAGAAGTTGTCTATGCTGCTCCTTCCTCCTCAAGGGGAAGACTCCACATACTCTTTCCCTGTTCCTGTGTGAAGTCCCTTTGATGGGCTGCAGTTCTTCACAAACTGCTGTCGTGCAGGTCCCCCACAGGGTCACAAGTCCTGCCAGGAAAGTTGTTCCATTGAGGACTCTTCTCTCTGTGGGCCCACAGGTCTTGCCAGGAGCCTGCTTCCAGTGTGGGCTTCCCATTGGGCCATAGCCTGATTTGGGCATCCACCTGTTCCAGTGTGGGATCCTTCAGAGGGAAAAAGTAGATATCTGCTCCAACATGGACCTCCATGGGTTGCAGGGCCACAGCCGGCCTCACCATGGTTTTCTCCACAGGCTGCCAGGGAACCTCTTCTCTGACATCTGGAGCACCTACTGCCCCTCCTCCTTCAACTGCCCATGGTGTCTGGAGAGCTCTTTGTCTCACATATTCTCACTCATCTCTCTGGCCGCAATTGCTGTTGTGCAATTTTTTCCTCCGTCTTAAATGTGTTATCCCAGAGGCACTACTACAGCTGCTGATGGACTTGGCCTTGACCAGCAGCGGTCTATCTTGGATCTATTAGACACAGGGGAAGCTTCTGGCAGAAGCCACCCCTTTGCCCCCCCACAACCCAAACCTTGCCACACAAACCCAACACACCTGACTATTAAACATATTAAGGCAACTGACACACATTAAGACAATGCAACTCCCTCTCAATAAATTAGCATGCCTGTGTCTACAAGAAGACATAATAGCTGTTATTTATATTGTACTTACATATTTTCTTTATAAATAAAAGCTTTATGCCTCCCTTTGAGCCTGCTCTTAGAGCCTTTGACTACAGTACCTACAACTAAACTACTACTTCAAATTAGCATGGCGTTCAGTGTGCATTTGTATTACTGCCCTGATTTTTATTGGTTTGTTAATTATTATTTTTTTCTCTCAGTTCATTCATCAATCATATTTACAAACCCGTTGTTGTACTTACTGCCAGATTAGTGTTCTCACACATTTCAGCACACAGACAGAAACTGCAAACTAGGGCAGCTTTATTAGGATCTCTAATATTTCTGAGGAGTTTGAAGGTGCTGACAGCTTATAGTATGTCTTTCCCAGGCAAGTGCAAGTGCCTCAAAGTCCATCTATCTGCAATTACTGGAAGGGGTAAAATTACAGAGCACGCTTTTCCTCTGAGAAGGAATCCTCTCCCCAGAGGTTAGGACTGGGGAACAAAAAGTATATTACAACTGGAGATGTGACAAATTATACTCCTCTGAACTTCTGAATAATCATCCGTGCCACACTGGCTGCCTTTGCAAAGCAAGCTTGTTTAGAACCCAAGCTGATTACCTTCCTTGTTGTTTTGCCAGGTAGTTTAACTTTAGTCATACATCAAGACCTAACCCTGAAGTTCTGCCACCCCTCAATGCTCACTGACAGCAATGGAAGCAGCTCAAGGATGGCAGAAGCAGGCCTCTATTGTGCTTGGGCTATGTCCTTTTTTACTTTTTGTCCTGACTCAATTATTCTCTGCTTCACACCACTCTTTTATAGTAGGCACCTCAGGGTGGAGGGTATGAGGAAAGGGTTTTATTTTTCAGGACTGCAGAAAATGGTGTTTCTCAGGGCTACAGAAAAAGGGAAGTAGTTTCAAATATCCAAGTGGGCACATTGTCACCACAGCCCTGTTTGCATACAAGCCCATTGTCAACCAAAGAAACTGGAAAATTATGGCTATTTATCTATCCTTCTTTTTACCCCCCGTTGTGCCTCTTTTGGCAGAGCAGCTGAAGAGTTTGCATTGTTTCAAATTTAATGCTTGCAGATGGTTTTATTTAGAATCTGTTTTATTGGTGAGACATGCTTCCTCTGTTTATTAAATTATGCCTACTTTTTTTGTCATCCATCATGTTGCCCGCAATTTCTGCACAGATCTCGAGGGTAGGGCTGGTTGTTGCTGTTGCCGTTGGGTGGATTACTTTTTTTGGGGGTAATTTGAAATATGATCGAACTCCGAGCGCCAGGGAAACACGGCTGGTGCTGACATTTTTCTCACAGAAGAGCATGACGTTCCCGACGGGCGAGCAGAGGCGCGGGGCGCTGCCGGTGAGAGGGGCGCCCGGCCAGGGGCAATTCCGCCCCTGCCCCCGGCCGACGGGGGAGCCCCGGGGCACGGCCCCGGGCGGGGGTCACGTCTCGCCGCCGTCGCCCGGAGGCGGGCGGCCCCGAGGGCGCGGGCTGCCGAGTCCGGGCCCGGCTCCGCGGAGCGCCGCGGCGGCTGCCGGGCGGTGGCAGGTGGTGGCCGCGGCAGCGCTCGGAGCGGAGCCCGGCGGCTCCACCGGGCCGGGCCCCCTCGGCCGGCAGCTCCCCCCGCGCGGTGCCCGCGGGCCGCCCGCGCGGTTTGTGTCCTGCGGAGCCCCCTCGAGCCCCCGGGTGGCCGCGGGCGCAGATCGCCGGCGGCTCCGCGCGGAACTCGCCAGCTCGGGAGCAGGAGGTGGGAACCGCGGGCGGTTTGGGTTTGCTCGGCTTCTTCTGGGTTTGTTTGGGTTTTTTCCCCCCCTGCTTTGTGCGGCTTTTTGGGGTTGGTTTTTACTATTTTTTCCCCTCCTCTTTTCCCAGCTCGGGTATTTGGAGGGAAGGCGGGAGCACCGCTGCCCCGGGAGAGACTCGGCGGGCCGGGCCGGACCGGGCCGGGCGGGCCGGCGGCACCTCCCCCCGGTTCGGGGGGTCCCCGGGCTCGGCCCCCGAACGCCCCTCTCTTCCGTTCTCCATGTCATTTCCTGTGCTAATAAGATGGTGGTCACGGCCGGGAGGGAGGGAGCCGCCGCTGCCGCCTCCGCCGAGCCCGGCCCGGCCCCGGGACCCGTCCTCGCCTGGGACTAGCCAGCGGGGCCGGCGGGGTGGGAGGGCGCAGCCAGCCGGGCTCCCCCCGCCCCTCCCAGGCGGAGCGGGCCCCCCGACGCCGAGGCGGGCTCCCCGCGCCCGCAGCGCCGAGGTGAGTCAGCCTCGCTGGTAGCCAAGGTGGCCACGAAAATGGCTGCGGAGCGACTGGGGGGGGACCCGTCCCAGCCTGGGGGGGGGTCCGGATTAAGGGGTGCCCGCAGCGGGCGGGGCGGCGGCAGCGACCCGCGGGCACAAGTATCGCCCCCCCCTCCCCCGCTCTCCCCTCCGGGGCGGGCAGCGCGGAGCCCGGCCCGTCCCCGCCGCTCCCGCCGCGCCGCTCCCGCCCGCGCCGCGGCTGCGCCCGCCCGGCTCCCCCCGCACCCCCGCGGCCGCCAGCGCGGCCCGTGACTGACGCGCCCGGCGGCCAATGGGCGGCGGGGGCGGACGGGCGCGCGCCACATTGGAACGCGGGGGCGGGGCCGCGCGGGGCGCTCCTGGGGGCGGCGGCGGGGGAGTGGGACCGGGGTCGGGACCCGGGGGAAACGGGAGTACAGCGGTGGCTGCACCCTGCTTGCGGGCACCGTGCTTGCAGCATCACTCGGGCCCCGTGCAGAGCTCCAGGGAAGAGTTGCCCTCGCATAGCTTAACCAGGATGCTCTGTTAACTCACGTGGAAAAACTGCAAATGCATATTCTTGGGCTTTTTCCCCTCTATTATTTTTTTTAAAGTTATAGAATCTTTCAAGCTTCCTTGTAAATGTTCCTGTATTCCTTGTCCTATTTCTAAGGGAAACAGAAGATGCCTCCCGCCTTGCCTTTCAGATTCTCGAGAAGAAAAAAAAAAAGCTGGCCTGTGGGCAAAACTGTTGGCTTAGTGTTGCTTCCTCTTTCTCCTGTGATTAATGCCTCTCATTAATGGGAGGAGAACTGGCAGAACTAGCTTAAAAAAATACCAGCCTAACTGTAAGATAAGGTTGTTTTCCAGCACTGCAGGTGTGTGCAGTGTTTTGTTGAGCAGCAAGAGAGCCCCAGCCCCAAATATCCAGCAGCCCCCTGGATCCAATCCTGCTGGTGAGGTTTGACTCCCTTGACTCCCAGAGAGACTGGCAGAGCATGAGCTCACTGCCTGGATTGGGCTTTGTGTCCCCTAAATTTCTGTGTGTCCAGTCACCAAGATTATAAGCAGTGAAAGCCAAAATGGAAATGACTCTCCTGTCTCTCTGGATTTTGTATAAACCCCACAATAGATGCACATGTCTGATGAGGACGGTGTGTTTTTTCAAGTGCAGGCTGCAATCGGAAACGAAAGTGTTCAGTTGATGGGTGTTTGCTTCTTGCAAGGGGCGCTCGGACCAAAGGTGCTTCTGCTCAAAAAAGAATAGTTTAACACAGGACTGAGTGATGTAGAGCTCTTGAATCACATGCAGCCTGCAAAGAGTTCAAGTGTCGGGGCTGTTGGTGGGGCCAGAAGAAGGACTGTGTTAGTGAAGGAAGGGTTGGCTAGCTGGAACTGCTCACCAGGGAGGATTTGAGGTAGCCACGGGAGATGCTGAAGGTTGCCCTGGCTCTTGGCTAGATGCTGAATTGGCCAATCCCACTGCAGTGTGGAGTAGCAGAATAGGGGAAGTCACAGTTCCCTCCTGCCTAGGAGTAATGTCAAAAGCTGCTGCTCCTTCTGGCTCTTTGTGGGGCATGAAGGAAGTCCTGCAGTTCTCAACTCAGTGCTGGCTTTGGTGTGGAGCTTTCTGGTTTTGGGATACCAGCCTGTTACTCCTTTAGCATCTTTGTGGACCATGCATGAGGCATGGTGTTTTCTGGGCCAGTTTATGGGGGACTCTTTCAATGCGAGCCTTACTAGTCGCTGATAGCAATTACTTGCACTTTTTTGACAATTAAAGAGGAGGATTATTGTGAGTGTGATACCTGATTTTAAATAGTAATGGCAAAAGCAAGAACTTCTCTGAAACGTTATTTTTTATGAACTGAGGCAAGGTCCATCTAATTGGAATGGGGTGGGGGCAGGTTGTTGCTTGTATTCCTTGCTGGAAAGTGATGGACCTGCTTGAGATGGGTAGGAGCAGTGTAAAGGTTGTGTCCATGAGTACTGCAAGAGGAGCCTGAAGCGGGAGGGCTCCTCCACTGCAGCAGGCTGGTATTGTGATTGGGGGCCCACAGGCATTGTGGTCAGTGGAAGTTGCCACCCTGAGTCAGGAATCAAAGTATATGTATATATTGAGGAGAAAAACAACAAGCCCAGGCGAGAGAGGTCTTTTTATAGAGAGTACTGTGTACACTTTATCCTTCTGTGTTTTTTTTTAATATTCTTTTTTCCTTTTGTAACTCCTGTCTCATGCTGGTTAATTCCCAAGTGGAGTTGTGGTTTTTTAAGCTTTTTTCCCCTCATGTCCATTTATGTAAGAGAAGTACGTGCTTTTACCTAGCTCTTTATTCTTAAAGTTGCTGTTAGCAGGGCCTGTCTCTTGCTGGTTCAGCTGTAAGTGCTACTAAACCATTTCCAGAGCTCTTAAAATACTGCCTATCATTCGTGTCATTTTGGAGTAGCATATTTAAAATTGTTTTTCCCAGCCCAGTGTTGTTACACAGGTGTGAAGATTTGCACGGAGAAACTAAAATAGTCCCAAAGACAAAATGTTTTGGGTTTGTTTTTAGTTTGATAAATAATAATACTGTAGGTTAACTGGGGGTCCTCCAGAAGGAAGAAATAAGCTGTTAAAATTTGATCTGAGGATACAAGTCAGGGCAACTGTGAGAATTAGCTATTCTTGTTCCCAGTGGCTTGAGTGCGGGTGGGAACTTCTGATGCCTCTTTTGCATTGGGAACATGTGTATCTGAGACCTATGGTTTTCCTAAGTAAAAACAAGCAAACATCTCTTTTATTCTTCAATTTGGATTCCAGCTTTCTGGCATTTTTTAAGAAATCTGGAGTCAGTTGGATGCACGTCAGGGTATGCTTGATGTATCTTCTTGCATCAGTGTTGAGTTGACTGATCTGGTCTATCACCTGAGCACAAACCCTTGCGACCCCAGGGTTGAGGGCTGCTTGAGGCACAGGCTGGGGAAGGGGAGTCAGTACGTGCAATTGAGCTTGCATTGAGCAAGTGGCAAAATTCCTCCTGGCCTGCCACTGGGCAGCCTGGCTGTGGGATGCTTACTTTGCTGCTTCATGTTTCGCTCCTTGTCATGCTTGTGGTGTATTTCATTGCAAGTGCGTCTGTACAGCACTCCTGCCTGAGGCTCTGTTGTAGTGGGTGAAGTTTCTTGGACCAGAGCTCTTGTGCAGCTGCAGACAGTTTTAGTGCCTCCTCTTGCACTGACCTCTCTTCAACAGTGGAGTAAAGAAGGCTTTAATTTCACAGGCTTTTCCCTTCTTCCCGTGACCTCTTCTCTGCTACTGAAGGCATTTATAAATAAAGCCTCTAGAGCAATGTTCCATCTAAAGCTGCATAGTGAAATGTTGCTTTTCAGGAATCCCTGCTAGTTAAACTTGCCTGTACAAGTGGGTTCCCGTAGCAAGTCCAGCCACCCAAAGAAAAAGCAGAGATAAGGTGAGAGGTTTGTATCACCCTTAATGACATTTTCAGAAAGAAGATGAGGGAAAAGTGCTTTGGAAAGGGAGGAAGTTTGCAGATAAAAGAGGCCAAAAAGCAATGGAAAACACAGCCATTGTGGGGCATCTTTGAAAGGTGGGAGCAGCCAAGGTGGATGGAGAAGAAATCTGGTGAGGAGGGCAACACAAGTATCCCATGTTAGAGAACCTTTTCTTTATAATGCCCACCATGTGATAGGCACTACAATGCGATAGAAAAGACCGGGAGGATTGAGAGCAAGGAGGCAAAAAAGCAGAGGTGAAGGGGTAAATTTTGGCTTGACATCTAGAATCATGTTTGCAATGTGATTTTTTTAGAAGTCTAGTCACTGTCTTCACCACGTAGGCTTTGGACTTCCACTAGAGTCAGTGAAGGTGGTACTAGCACTGACATTTTTCCTCCTTCCATTCCAGCCTCTACACATAATTGTCAGAACCTATGTTTCTGCAGAGAGACAATCAAGCAATTAAGAACATTGACACTTAAGGCTTTGCTGTTATGCTTCTGGGTCATTGATCCGTTTGTGGGAGCAGGATAGTTTGTATCCTTCAGAGCTGTTGCTCAAATGCCTCGTTATCCTTTAGGACTGGGAGGCAGTACTCTGGCATTTCAGACTCAGAACAGTTTCCCTGCAGTCAAAAGGTAAAAACATTATACATATAATTTAAGATTTAAGCTGCAAAAACTGGCAGCCTCCAGAGGGAGATCAGTAATGCGTACTGCAGAACTGTTTCAGTGCAGTCCCTCAGTCATGGACAGCCATAGTAAGGGGCCCATCAGAAGGGTCAATCATAAACCAAGTTGTCCAGTTCGAACACACTCTGATAAATGGCTTGGTTTCTCTGCCCCCTTTTCTTCTCTCCTCCTTATGCTTTGGCTTTTCAGAAAGACTAGTTTTCCTTTGCCTGTAGTGACTTGTCCCAGAGAAGGGACTGCTGTTCTAAAATCTCGGCATTGAGCCCTACCAGGGCTGCCACTCCCAGCGGCTCAACCAGGCTGCCTGTGCTGCTGTCAGCTGAGGGCTGGCTTTTGCCGGTGGAAACTTAAGTGTGGGTACTGGGTGAGGTGTATAAGGACAGAGTGGTAAAAGTGCATGGGAGGTGATGTGGGGGATTATCTTGTGTGCCAGCTATAGAACTGCTGTAATTAACTCCCCCTGAGAGTCAGTGGTGCTCCTGCCTTGCGCACTGGGGAGCTGATACACTGAGCATCCTTTGCCAGCCCCCAAGCCAAGTTATTGCTTCATGCTGCAGAGCACTCTCTCCAGGCTCCTGACTATGGATCAGGCCATCTGGGGCTTCAATGGCCCCCACTAACATCCTTTCAGTGTTGAAGGCTGGTACTTGGAGCTGATATTGGTCAGGGCCATCAGGCATTTGCAGGCTGATAATCATTTTGAAATATTGGCCAGTACATTCTTTTTTTGGTACAATGAAGCTTGATTTTGAAAATGCATCATATAAGCTGTATCATAATATGCTGAGTGGAGTTAAATGTGGTTCTT